TAAAAATATATTAATGTAAAACCACTTACACACACACACACACACACTCACACACGCGCATCAGACTTACATACATATACACCGAACGAACATACATTCTATAACATACAATCATGTCACACATTTTTTGCTTATATTTTAATACATTGTTATTAATCCTAACACATGTTGAGTTAAACTTTATTGTGTAAACGCACTGTATTTGGATTTTTATGTACTCACCATCACCTTTTTTGTGAAAACTTTTTATAACCTGTCTTTCTTTCTTTCCATTTAGGAGTTTCCTCTTGTCGGTGCAAATCTGTATCATATAATCTGTATCTTAGTATAATTTGTTCGAAGTTCTGGTGATCTAATACAGATTTAACGCCTAGTACAGGCACCAGTTCCCTTATTGTCTGTCTCAGTCCTTAACTGTTTGTGGTGAGAACTAAATAAATGAATAAGGGGATGGAATTGTTAGTAACGGGGATTTGGCCCCATTACCAATAATATGCCCTGTCAACTTGATCTTCACATGGTGCTCCCTGACACTTTAGCCTTACTATTAGTCCTTTATGTCTCCATGAGCGTAGTAGGGCGTGTGGATCGGGCATAGAATACGCCACTCCTTCCTTTCCCGTGGGTGGGTGCATTAGAGGTGATTAAGAAAAGGCGAGGGATGGGCAGCAGCATCCCTCTTAAAACATTTCCAAAGTCTAACTGCAGTTGTTAATCCACCTGCTAAGCGTGTCAACTAACAAAATCCACCAAAGGGGTGGCTTATATTCAGCAATGGACAATTTAAAGACTGATATGATGGTTCATAAAATTGAACAACTTGACCCAAAAAGCATATGTATGTCGATAGTTCCTAGGTATGGTATCAAAACTGAAAAATCGTAACAATTTTTTTTATGGTTATGAGTTATTCAAAGGTATATTTTTGAACTAAAACTAAAAATTTTTCTGATACCTTAACTTTAGTGGAAACGATCCATTTCGTTTATTGTTGGTGGAGGTGTATTATACTTAAAAACAAAGATTTCTATTGATTTAAGTAACGAGATACAATAATTAGCTTGGAATATACTAACAGTTCTACATGTCTTCAACTATTTTAAACTTGCTGATATTTAAATTTCGTTATAATCTTTTATGTGACTTTAAAATTTTCAGTTTGAATTATTATTAAACAATGGTAATTACAAGCACTGTTCGAACAAAACTACCGAATGCGGCATTTTTGATTAATTATTGATAAATTAATTACTATGTAGATTAACAGACTCTACGGATTCGATAAATTTCAATATATGATATAGACGCTATGATGTAAAGCACCGTACGCTCCCTAAAGAATACTTTCGGATGTAATCATAACAATGAGAAGAAACGACGATCACGGCAAGTTCATAATATTTTCCATTATACATATATATAGATTATACATATAGATATAGACACACGTATAGATTATTCACCTTAACATGGCAAGGCCCTCCAACTTTTTATTTCAATGTATGTTTGTAAGAAAACGTCTTCAATAGCGGTCTAGCCAGAGGATAATTATATTCCTTGATCGAAACCTTGTAAATATTGTTATTATACTTACATTTTTAATTATTTGGACTTTAGAGAGACATGCCATGTCATCATAGATAAATATATATATTATTGGACTTTCTGTAAATCTACTAATAATTACTCAAACTTGAATTTTTATTCAATGTAATTAGTTAGTAGACTAAGTATAATTATACAGCCTAATTTTTAAAAAGTTAAAATCTCGTGTCACAAACTTATACAAAATTTAAACTTCAAATCGCTCTTCAAAAAAGCAAGAATTGTCACTTTCTGTATTATAATGTCGGGACAGTGGACATAATGGATACTTAAAAGTAATGTTTTTATATAAACCGCGCGGTCACATCACCGATTTAGTACAAAAATATTTTTATATTTTAATTAATATACTTCTTTGAGTAAGTTATTTAGTTCTTATGAGAGAGATTGTATGGATTTATATTTATGAAGCTTTTTATTAAACACGGAGGTTTTTTATGGTTTCAATAAGATAATGAATTAATAAAGAGATGTAGTTGAGATAACTTTAAATTAAGCTGATGATTAGATAATCAAACACAACAGTAAACAACTAAAAAAGAAGCGATCGGATAGATATTGTCTTCTTAAATCTAAAGGTGGATCACCGATTTTGATCTGTAAAGTATTGATTAGATTTGATTTCATTGTTCCAGAGATAATCCTCAAGGCCTTGGATTGGATTAAATCCAATTTCTTAAAAGCAAATGAACCTAGATTCTACCTAATCTAGAATCCTGGTGCTAACAAAAAAAGTTCTATAATCAAGAATACTTCCTATACACAAGTTTTAGTGAAAAGGGAGGTGCTCCTCGTCACAATTCAACAAGGCACTTAAGAATGTTAAGATTACGCTCACATTTTTGTGGAAATATAATTACAGTTGGATAGACCTATTAATTTATTATCTAGCACGATACCTAAAAATTTAATTTCAGTTCTTATAGGAATGTACGAGTTATATTTTTTTTTTAATACTACTTAGAATGGCAAACAAGCTGACGGTCCACCTGATGGAAAGTGGTAACCGTCGCCTATAGACATGAGCACTACCATGGAAATAACAGAGTATACTGTTTCGCCCCTGATACCCTTCATGCGTTGCCATTCCTGAGGACTCAGGTGTTATTCCTCTGCACCCAGTAAATTCACGCCATATCCCACCCTTCAAACCAAAACACAGCCATGCAAACACAACTGCTTCACGGTTGAAACACGAATGGGACAGTAAGTACCCAAGCAATCGATTTTTGTACAAAGTCTCCCTCTGGTAATCATAAAGATGTGGTAGAAAGAGGTGGTATCATAAAGAACTTTAATTTGTTGTGGTGATCTTATTGTTGTGGACAAAACTACATTCGTTTATTTTATTATTATTTTAGTTGCACAAAAATTAAGACCATTTGCATCTAATCACGTTTTTAACAAATTAAATTAATTAGATAATTTGGCAGAAGCAGATTTTACGGACTTCGCAATAAAATATACTAAGAAATCGTCAGTATACTATAAAATTTTGACGGATTTATCAAGGAATAATCATTCCTGGTTCTTGGTGTGTATATTGAATAAAATGGGACTGAGAACAGATCCTGTATTGTCTTTTTTTTCTGATAAAATATTAATAATGAAATTAGAAAGCATTACCGGTACATTTAGAACCTGTAGTTATTACAATAGAAGTTATAACAGTATCATAGGCAGAACTTATATCTAAAAAGGCTGAGAGGACTGAATATTTTGTGAAAAAGCTATATGAATATTCTAATTAAGAATACTCAAACAAAAATACTATTCGAGCCCAAAGGCCTTAAAGTATTGTGTGTGTGTGGGAAATTGTAAATTAAACAGTCAAGGATGGGGACCATTATAAAAAGAAGGAAGTATTAACCATACACGTCATAATTTCCAAGAATACCAGCACACCGCCCGCCTATGTGCGACTAGTGGCGTCGTTCCTCAGGGGCCGTAGGTTCTTCGTTTCGGTGGAGGACGCTTGCTCCGACACCCGCCTAGTGGCCGCCAGAGTTCCACAAGGTAGCTGCATCTCCCCGACTTACGTGTTGTATACTAATGACGTCCTAGTCCTTAAAAGTCAGCCTTTTACACTGGCCTTTGAACGGAACGTCATGCTCGCTCTCTTTGCAGACGACACAGGATTTTTCTCATCGTCGTATTTATTGGATGAAAATGCAATGGTAACCCCGCCTGCGCTAACGGGTTACGCTGGCAGGATACCAGTGAAGGGTGATCGATTAAGATGAAAACAGGCCAGTTAGCCCATCATGATGAATTCATCTGGAATTAATCATGATAGTTTCCAGGGGCAGAATTTATTGCAGCAGCATATTGTTATAAAAATGTCATGTTTCTGAAGTACCACAAAAATAAACGCCACCAAAAATAATTGAACACCATAAAAATAAATTTAAAATTGTGGTTAAAAACACTTATTTAACAAAGCCTATTATACTTTAAATGATTACTTTAATGACAAACGTGCATGGTGTTAGTCGATCATGCACGGGCTTTTTAATAAATACACATAATGTTAACAGACATTTAAAAGAGTAAGTGTCTGTTGAGTTTCTCGCGGGCTCTTCCTAACAGATAACAACTTTCCGAACCCTGCAATAGATTTAAAAAATAAAAATTTAAAAGTGATTGTATATAAGTCTATTTGAATAAAGATGATTTAAATTCGCATATATAAATTAGAATAATCCTTATATAATTAAAAAGAAAATTAAATTCAAGAAATCCAGAAAACACTTCGGCTTCTTCAAACTGTTTCCTGCTAATTTTGATTATACCCACAATATTTACTGTACATATTGCTTTTTCGATGATGTCAACACTATCGTTAAGTGACAATGGCAGAATTAGTGACAGTGACATTTAACCGACAATATTGCCATAAAACAAATTACGAGTTTTCTTTCTTTTCTACTTAAAATATGTCCGTTATTATTTATACGTAAAATTAATATTAAGAATTAAACATTGGACTTATAATAAAACATGAATAATTTCATTCGATAATAATTACTAGCTATTCAGAATTTCTAACTTCAAAGTAAAAATCTTGTTGACAGAAGTTGATGTCTACCCTCGTAACTTTTGTAAAATATTTTACGAATAAATAAATTATAGTAAGAAATATTATTTTATTTTGCTTCTACCTTCTTTAATAGTATAATATTTGGCCTGTTCACTTAAACAATAGCCATCGAAGCAGGAAGACTCAAACTTATTGCAGCTTAATAATTAATTTAAAAAATTTTAATAATTTTTTTTAAATCCAAATCATCCTTCGAGTCTGGGTAAGTTTAATTCCTGTATAAATCATGAATGATATTCGTAAGTATTTTGGACTCAATTTTACAGTTCGTATGGCCGGAACAAAATGATAATGTTGACATTCAATATGGCGGTATGTCGTCAGTGCTATGCTGTGTCGTGGTGAGAATTGATAATTTCATCGTTTTGTATTCATTTGCTTCAAAATATACATGATTAACTCCGGTCAAAATTAGTAACCAGTGTGTAGTATCGTATGTGATATGTTATTTGCCTTAATTAAAGTATTCGACAATCAGAGCCCTTTCGCACGGCGTTATAATTTCCCAGATCGTACTGCTGGGGCGGCCGATATCTACCTAGATAGCAATAATAAAATGTAGAACAATAATTCGCCGCGATGCTTTGTTGTAATCTACATACATTGTAACTATTTAGCATTGATTTAAAATCGTTTTTACGTATTTATCTTTATATTAACCGAAGTCTCTATTGCAGCTTGTGAATATCGGAATTATCGAATAGAATAGATAGTAACAAAATAATACATTTACCTACCTCCACCACCAATTATTCTAATGTACTCCAGAGCTCCGACTCAGCAAGCATTGAAGACATCTGAGGATCTAGTGTAACATTTATGTAGTTTTATTTTCAACAATAGTAGTTTTGGTGAATAAATTGTGATTTTTGCGTTATAGACTCAATAGTGTTCCTGTGAACACAAAGACTAAAAAAAATGTGATTTTTGATTTAAAAAAAAAATTACTGATACCTATAATAGAAATTTTAACACCACACGATTTTCTGTGATATATACTTAATACTGCGATATTCTACCTACATTAAAGAAAAAAATAAATCAAGATACAATGTCCAGTAATCCTCAGTGGAAAATGTTCCAGCCGCCAGATTCACACCAGTCACCTTTGCAAGACATACTTGACCTTCAGCATCCTACCATGCAAGCTAAACAGGCATACCGCAATGGTAACATGACTGATTTATCTTTTTGTAGTGTAAACACCTTCAGTATTTATATATTAAGAGATTGTAAGAATTTTGTTTTATTAAAAGGTACTTATAGCAGCGAGTACCCGAGTTCACCAAGAGATAATTTCAATAGTGTCAATAAGACAAGTGGAGGTAACCGGTTCCCTATGAATAATTATAATATGGATGGGTGTCCTATTGGTGATTCTGTTGGGGTCTTCTCATCAGGATCTAACAACACTGCATCCCAATATGATTCTGTGAACCATCCACCTATTAGAGAGACAGGCATTATTGAAAAATTATTGGTATGTTATATTTTGTTTATCAATTTATTAATAACTTTTATACCTATATATTTTAAAAACAAAATTATGGCTGTGCTACTTAATAACTATTGAACAATACTTTGTTGAGTGTTTGTGGTTATGAATTAATATAAAACAATATAAATTTATGCTGTTTTTACTTTATCTGCTTAAATCATAAATTATTTGGAATTAAAATATCTCAGGGGTGATACTATAGTGTATAAATATTATTTTTATATAATATTTATATACTTTATAGTTCTTGATTAATTTATTTTTGAACTAGCTATTCCCTATCACTTTCACATGTTAATCAATGAATTAATTATCCTACTAGGTTAGAATTGGACTAGGTCATGGTTTTTTAATGTGTGATAATAGTATGGAAACCACCTATACTAAATTCATATGCTGGTGAGGTATGATAAGTGAGGATGCAGAAGCAGGTCAATTAGCCCATTGTGAAAAACACATCTGGAATTCAACACAATGGTTGGGGGGAGGAGGCCTAAGGTTGTTGACTTGGTAGGGTGTATTGCTAGTAATGTGTCTGATAGTTCCCATTACTAACAATACCTTCTCTTCAGCTAGGCTAAATTATGTGGCGTAAGACCTTACTCCTCAGAAATGACAACACATGAAGGGTATCATGGGTGATGCTGTACTTTGTAATGTCCATGGTATTGTTTATTTATCATTCTAATTATTTTAATGTGAAGTTACACAAAGCAAGTGAATCTTTCTCCTACTTTTAAACATCCAATTTTGTTTCATATAAAATTGCTTAGTCTTGTAAGAGTATTTTTTATTGTTCCACTATATTTGTGAACAAACTTAAATATTACTTTCTTTTAGTGCTTTTTACTAGATCTGTGCTTTTTATTGTGACACAGAATTTAATTTATAATTGTTTATTTCTTACACATGATTGTACAAAATAGTATGGTAACAGTTTGTTTAAAATTTTAGCACTCCTATGGATTTATACAATGCTGTGAAAGGCAAGCTCGATTGTTCTTTCACTTTAGTCAATTCACTGGAAACATTGAACATCTGAAAATTGGTGATCCTGTTGAATTTGAAATGACTTATGATAGACGTACTGGCAAACCAATTGCATCAAATGTAACCAAGATTGCACCTGAAGTGGTAGGTTATTCATTGACTTTAATAGCTGTTTAAATAATTATGATTAAATTGTTTAGTATCTAAGCATAATGTTACTGATTTATAGTTTTTTATTCTAAAAATTTAATTTAATGTGCAAATGCTTAATGTTTATTATTATACTCAAAAAGATATTAATTTCAATCTTACCAACATTAATATGGGACATTGTTTAAAGTAAAATTTTTTAATGAAAAAAAATAATAACCAGAATCAGTTTATAATTGGTAATATTATTGCAAACATACAAAAAAATCTGTCAACTATTGGACATTTCCTGTTTATACTCAAAAATATGTTTATTTAGTATTTGATTTTTTTTTGTGAGTAAAAGTTTAATCCTGTTTGGGTATATTAATAAAAATATATAAATTTATACACAGGTATTGAGTGAAGCTCGTGTTACGGGCACTGTTACAACAGAAGTTAAAGGAGAGGGTTCTGGTGACAACACTGGGAGAATTTCCTACGAGAACCGTGGCGAATGTTTCTTCTTGCCTTACACTAAGGACGATGTTGAGGGAAATGTAACACTACATACTGGGGACGCTGTTAGTTTTCAAATTGCAACTAATCAAAGGTAATATAATTTTTGTATTGAATTGAAGTGACTTATTTTATTGGGCGGTTTTGTAATATACTGATTTTGTACAATTTTATCATCATAATATGATAGGAGAGCAAAATATGTGTAAATGTATGAATATGTTTTACTTATTTATTATTTATTGACTACATGTAAACAAAAGGCATTCACTTCCAGTCAACTTATCAAAGGTTCTCTTAGAAACATAAATTTAATTATGCAGTGAAAAATATTGAAAATTGTTGTGGGTAAATAGTTACAGCGTATCTATTTACCCACAACAACTTTCAATATTAGTATTATTATTAGTAGTATTCATTTTCATGTTCATATAATAGTTTATACTATTAACTTTTCCCCATAATTTTGTCCATAGGACTGGGATAAAAAGTAACTTATGTCCTTCATTCCAAATAATACTTGGTAAATTTTAGGGTGATTGGTTTAGCCATTAAGATTAGTAGTAGAGGCAACAAACTCACTTTCATATTTATGATATTAGTAAGCATTACAAAAGCGCTCAAATGTTTGGATGCTTAGAGAGTATACATGTATATGATTTCAGGGGTACTCTTGGTGCTTGCCATGTCCGCTTTGAAAATCCTGTGCACCCAGTAAAATATCATGGTGTTATATGTTCTATGAAAGAAAACTTTGGATTTATAGAGAGAGCAGATGTTGTAAAAGAAATATTTTTTCATTATTCTGAAGCTAAAACTAAAGAGGAATTGATGTTGGGAGATGATGTAGAATTTATCATACAAACAAGAAATGTGAGTAGATTATTTTTATATTTATTTTTTTATATTCATTATATATACTTTATTATATTTATTTAATATAATTAACTTAAATTGCTTGATTTTTACAAGTAATTTTATTTTGTTTTGCTTATTATATATATATATATATATATATATATATAAAGTAATATTTTAAACTAAGTTAACCATGTAAGTGAGTTTCCTTACAAACTTTCACCTTTATAATAGAAGTAGTTTTTTTTATAATGTACATTCAAACTGCAAGAAGCAGGTATAATAATATTAGCTGATTTCATACTGGTTTTTCTGTGAAACAGGGTAAAGAAGTCGCTTGCAATATTACAAAATTACCAAGTGGTTCTGTGGTGTTTGAGGATGTAAGTCCTGAGATTATGCGTGGACAAGTGCTGAAGCCTTTGGAAAAGGGTACCATGGTTCGTGTGCCTCAAAATGATCCATTGCCAGGCAGAATCAGATATCGCGCTGCTGACCACTCTGAAGTAGAGGTTAGTATTTAGAATATTATAATTCACTGTCAGATGCAATGTATACATGCAAATTTTGTAAGTTCCTGGTAACATATATGACTATGAATATAAAAATTTAAACTAATGAAATTTGTAACTTCATATAGTAAATTAAATTATCAAGTGCCTATGGTGCTGTGTTACAAATATTACGTAATGTAATTTTCATGGGGTACATATTGGCTTGATTGAGAATAAATTTTGACTGCTTGCTAATAATTATTAAAAATAATAAATAACCACAAAATCTACTGGTTAAATTATGAATATAGATTTATTAGATTTTCCTTTAAGTGATAAATATTAGTACTAAAAAGATTTTAATACAAAGATTATTGGCAAAGGTACCTTTTGGCGATAAAGACCAGTGTGGCGAGTTCACTTTACGTCACGGTGACTGGGTTCAATTCCAAGTTGCTACAGATAGACGGGACCAGTTGAAACGAGCTACAAATATTTCTTTGCTTGATGAATCTTTCAATGTCTCTGGAGAGCGGTAAGTCCTTTATTATTAATTATAAAAAATAACGTTTCTGATTGACATCAATTTCGGATCCATTAATAGCAGACATCACTTATTAAAGAAAATCTTAGATATATACTATTGCACTGTTTATCATTACGGTTACTTTTCATTGTTAATAATGTGCGCATGTGGTGTTCGCCTGTAAGAGATTTTTAAGTATTTTTATGTTAACAATTAAATAACGTAAAAATTCAGAAAGATATAGGTGAATCTTAATAAATAAATAATATACAAAATTCTATCAAGAGATCAATGCAGAAATTGGTAATTTACAATTTAAGAAATTCTTATTTCATAAACTCTTGTAATTTATCTCTTCGGCTCGCGGTCTAGACGTGTCTAGGTCAGCTTTAAATGTAGACGTAGAATCTGTGCGTACTGTGAAAGAAGTACTAGCGGTATCATTGAAAATACTACTTTATATAGTATTACAATTGTTTATGGTTTCATTGACGATAGCTGCTCTTTTTAATCAAACAGCCGCGGAAGCTCCCCATCAGATTGAAGCAATTCGAGCGATAACAATTATACAAAACGTTTTAGTATGGTTGTGTGAGATTTGATACGCGCTATTTGTGTTATCTCTTTCATTATTGTATAATATTATGTTATGCTTTTTAAACTAATTTTTGCCGCGACTTCATACGATTGAAATGTGAAAATAGGAATCATACCAATAAGTACGAGGATTATTTGAAAAGTTCTTAGCCTAACATGGTTAAAGTCATTGGTTTTTTTATAACTACCCTCATTTTGTAGTTACATTATTTAGCAACAAGTATGCACAGTTTAGTTTATTCACAGTAACTCATTGTTCGTTTACACGTGATACCGTAAGTCAAGTCAGAGCTATTTTTGAAAATGGATAAAATTGAACATCGTGCAGTAATAAAATACCTGAATTTGAAAGGTTTATCATGAAGACATGTCTGCTACTTTGGGTGAGTCCGCTCCTTCGTATGCGACTGTTAAAAACTAGGTGGCAGAGTTTAAACGTGGTCGTGAGACCATTCAAGATGAGCCCCGTAGTGGCCGGCCTTCGACTGCTTCCACTGATCAAAACAAAGAAAAAAATCTGTGATTTAATTTTATCTGATCGAAGATTGACTGTCGAGGATATAGCTAAGACTGTAGGCATCTCATCTGAGCGAACACATCATATAATTACTACTGAACTTGAATTCTCTAAGGTGTCTGCGCGGTGGGTACCGCGACTGCTTTCAGTGGAACAAAAACGCAACCGACTCACAACTTCTCGCGACTGTTTAGAGTTATATGAAGCTGACCCAATAGAATTTGTTGAAAGATTTATAACCATGGATGTAACCTGGGTTCACCACAATACACCCGAGACAAAAGCACAGTGGAAACAATGGAAAAGAGCAGGATCGCCCACCCCAAAGAAGGCAAAGGTGGTTTTATCGGCGGGCAAAGTCATGGCATCCGTTTTTTGGGATGCAAAGGGTATAATTTTCGTGGATTATTTAAGGGTGAAATAATAAACTCCGATTACTATTGCAACCTGTTGCGTCGTTTGAGAGAAGAAATCAAAGAAAAACATTCAGGTTTATTGAGATGAAAAGTCTTGTTTCATCAGGACAATGCGCGTATTCGCACCTTTGTGCAATCCATAGCAGAAATCCATCAATGTGGCTTCGAATTGTTACCTCATCCCCCATATTCACTGGATTTAGCACCGTCCGACTTTTATCTGTTCCCAATACTGAAAAAATTTTTAGGTGGTAAACATTTTTTTCAAATGTAGAGATCATAGCCACCGTGGACGCTAATTTTGAGGAGTTAGACGAAGATTTTTTTAAAACGGGTATCGAAGCCTTACCGGGTCGATGGAAAAAGTGTTTTGAGCTCGGAGGAGAGTATGTTGAAAAATAAAAATAAACTCAAAATCGTGTGGTTTCATTATTATGTTAGGCTAAGAACTTTTCAAATGAACCTCGTAGGTATACAGTATTATGACTATTTCTAATTAGAATTTAAAATAAACCACTTGTAGATGGTATCGTATCAAGATAAGTGGGCAATCAGTTAATTGATTTTCATTTAAATCTATTCTGTTATTTGATGCACTATGTGTGACAATGCATTACAAATACAATTGTAAATATTTGTTTGATAATAGAAGGGAGCAAGGCGTGGTGTGTTCGCTGAGAGATGGTTTTGGTTTCATTCGCTGTGTTGATAGAGAACAGAATATGTTCTTTCATTTTGCTGAAGTTCTTCGTTTAGGACACAAACTTAGTGTGGGTGATGAGGTAAGTCGCTAAGTAAGAAAATAACTTAATATTAAAACTCAAATGGACCTTTTTGGAAATTTTTGGTTCTAGACTTGGAACCAAAAATTCATATTTGAATTGATATATGTTATACCATAAAGGTGGTAAACAAGCATATCGCCCGTCTGATGGTAAACGGTCACTGTAGTCTATAGACGCTTGCAACACCAGCGGTTTCATGTGAGCGTTGCCGACCCTTAATATAACATAATAGATGAAACTAGCCTATCTTATCGTTACATTTAGTTTGCCACTTTTAATATTATTTATTTATATAGTTAACTTGTGTACATTAATGTAATTAGTTTCATCAATTTGAAGCAAGGGTTCTTCAGAAAGGGCTTTATAAGGTTTCTCTAGGGTCGGTAATGTAAGCGTTAACCCTGCTGTTGACGGCGTTTATAGGTTACGATAATCGTTTACCATCCGATTGTATGCTTATTTGCCACTATTGTGGTAAATAAAATAATAGAGTCTAATGATAAATAAATATTTTAATGTTTTGGTGCTTATGTATACGTTTTCTTTATTTTTAATTTTTAACATACCACTATATATCGGTGTAGGAGATCCCTATCCATCCATACGACACCTGCTTCTACACCTATGTACTATAATTAATAATTGTTTTCATTATGACCCCTTAATGTTTGCTAATTTAATTTACGTATGATAATATTATGTACGTGTCATATGTGAAAACAAATAATGTTGTGTTTTATTCTTTATTGACAGTCTTGTATATATATTGCCAGGTTGAATTTACCGTGGATCCAGTAGCAACTTTCTCTAATATGAACACCCGTCAGTCGGCAATACGTATTAAGCACCTTCCACCTGGTACTGTTCAATTTGAGACGCTCATTGAGCGCGGTGTTCGCGGTGTGGTCACCAAAGAGGCGCAGCTGTTCAACTCATTATCCAGTCCCTCTAGAGCTACACCTGGTGTAAGTAGTGAAAAAAGTAGTTTTTTTTTTTGTTTTAATATACGAAGATTTGCAATTTCAAGTTATATAAACAAATTATTCTGTGTCCATCTTCCTAATCTTAATTTTGGAATGTAATGGTTTTTCTAATATCGATGTTTAAATACCAATATCTCCAACTAAACCTATAATTAAGGCAGCACTTGATAATATTAACTTATTTTAAGTTGATGTAAGTTTTGATTGTCCTTAAATAAATAAATAGACAAAAATTTATCATTTAGCAGTTTAAACGAGAATTAAAGTAATAGATATACATCTTTACAAACTTTCATGATTATAATATTAGTATTATATCAGTTTTCCTGACATTATACTAATATTGTAATTGTATTTGTGGTTAAACGTCGAAATGCTGTGTAGAATATGATAATTCCATAATATTTAAATTATGTAAAATTTAATTACATTAATTTATTACGTAACAGGTATTATTCTTTTTTACATATAAATTTGTGTTGTATAAGAACATATGTTCTACGAACAGAAGTGTGATAGTGCATTTATTTCTTTAATTCGTTCAGGCAGATACTCATGACCTGAAGGTCATGAGTATCTGCCAGAAACAATTATGACTTTATAAATATTGTTGTTGCACAGGAATTTAATGGATTAATCACATGCCAAATTAATGGGTCGAAGAAAACAATCTCTTTTATGGCTAAAAAATGTGAATCAAAGATGTTGCCTCGTGTCGGAGATAAAGTTATGTTTGATATATATCAGGTATGTGATACTTTAATATCATAGTACTAGTTTTTTGTCACCTATTTCGTACTCGTAGATTTCAAATAGATAACTTCCGACAACAGATTTTAAGTTACTTTCAGGAACACAACTTTGAAAACCGCATTCGATTGGGTGCAGTTTTTGCGTTATTCTGGAACATACGGATAGACAGACAAAATTTCTAATATGGTTTTTGCTTTTTTTTAAATCTTCTCATTGTTCTTATATAATAGCATTCTCATATATACTTTTTTGAGAAATATGAACGAATAATTGAAAACGTTTATATACCCATTATGCTAATGTGATTATGTGCGCGAACTGATTCTTTGGGTAAATTTGTAAGGAAACAATAAACTTGCAATATGAATAATGAAATCTTAAGTAAATATTGTGCATTGATTACAGGTGAAGCGAACAAAAGCACTGGTTGCTATGTCAGTGCAAATTCAGCATAGTCTGACAAATGGCAACTCGAGTAACGGAGCGGCAAACTCTCGCGCCATCATGCAGGGCTTCATTGCCGCTCTGAAGGATGGATTTGGCTTCATCGAAACTTCAGATCATACTAAAGAAGTCTTCTTTCATTTTAGGTGAGTATCTTTCATAGCGTCTGTGTATATATACATAGCATAGTACACATCTAAAATACACAATGTTACTAGTCTTTTTTATCAGTTAGATAATATATTACAATGTTACATTCTGTTTTAATTTGTGTTGTCAATGCAATAAAATTTGAAACTGTACTTATGAAAGCAAATGCGAACGGCGTGATTTTGATATATGATGCTTGTTTTATTATAGTATATAAAATTGGCATATTCGCGAAGTTTTATTACCTAATACAACATTAAATAAAGTTTACAATGTAAGCAAAAATCAGTGTCAACAAAGCTGATTTGTTTCCTTGCCTATTTAGGTCAAAACATTTTATGTTATCGTGTTTTTCATAGTAAAACAATGACAAAAACTATACTATTTTTATGTTAAATGTCAAAATTTCTCATTTAGCGAGATGTAATAATAAAACATTAAAAAAAAATCTTTTATAGTCTATGTGTTTTTCTATTGATATTCAGAGCAAAGTCATGTGATAATAAAAACACTTGTATTCACAATTGATTAAATATTTGTAAACATCATTCTTTAGTCAATGCAATGCTTATTGCACTGCTACTACTTATTATATATATATATATATATATACATATATATGTGTGTATATATATATACATATATATGTGTGTATATATATATACATATATATGTGTATATATATGTGTATATATATATATATATATATATATATATATATATTATGCAACTTAGAATGGCAAACAAGATGACCGTCCACCTGATGGAAAGTGGTAACCGTCGCTTATATACATAAACAACACTACACACATTGCAAAATAAATTACCCCTCATTCGTTGCCATTCTTGAGGACTAAGATGTTATTTCTTCATACCAATTTTAAAGTAAAAGTTGTAATATATTCGAAATGGACAGTGCTGTTTGATGTTACAGCTCTTTATGTGCAATCTAAATACTAAACTTTTACTTCGTCATATTTTATATTATCTATTTTATATAATGTAGTTCTAAAAAGCTTAATATAAAAAGCATATTGTTGATTTTTGTGTTGCAAAAGCTTTGCGAAATATTTTTAATTAGATTGATGTCTCTTCAGTTAATAAATATATGCTGAGCGCTTATGTGTTCTCTTGTGATAGGTTAACCTTTTGACAAGATTATATTCAGCGTCGTAGGAAATGTAATATTGAACGGAGACATCTGTAGATTGTTATTGTGGTGAACGTAATACGCAGATTGCCGAACAAATTAAAATGAAATACGCTAATCTATACTAATATTATAAAGAGGAAATATATTAAATTAGAAAACTACTTTATCGATTTTAAAAATTCCTTCATCTATATAAAGTTATAACATCAGCGAGTAATATAAGCTATATATAGTATTATTTTTGAAGTTCTGTCTATCGCCCGTTCAAAACTGGGTTATTTATACGGCGTGTAACTTAGAGCCTAATATGTCTCTGTTTTTATGGATGTTTCTGTTGTAATGGAATAGTATTGTGTAACTAATAATTCTTACAGTACACATTGATAAGTGTATTTTTATACAATTATTAATATACAGTGAATGTTCTATATAAGCAACATTCTTTATATTTTATTTATTCTACTCAGCTTAGTTAGTAAAAGAAATAAGTTAAAATATTTTTCAGACGGTAAGTATTTTTATACTCCATTTTTCCTTGTAAGCAACTTTTTCTAATAAGAAACTTTTTTTATTGAAATTGGTTCAAATGAGTCGCTTATATACAGCGTTCACTGTATTAACATATTAATGGAAAACGTGCACTTAAATCACCTGGCGATAATTATATTTATTGTTTAATGCCTAAACTAATCCGTACTATAGTCGTGCCATATTTTAATAGTAATGAGATATATAACTAACTGTAATAATATTTAGGTATACGTAATAATAATATTATCAGTTTTTCAACTTATAAAATTAATTGTTCAATGCTGAGCATTGATCTTATATTTTGTTACAAAAAATCTTGAGCTACTTGATCCGTGTATAGCAAACAAATATTGCATAGCGATTTTTAGATACTAATAAATCTAGAAATGCTAGTTAAAATACAAGAAACATTGTATCATTGGGTAATTTGTCAAAACTAGTCAGTTTAATATTAATATTTCTTTAGAGCCGTTATGAGACTCTTCTGGTGTTGTAGCCAGATCATATAACCAATATAGTAATTGCTCTCGCATAGTTATATCTTTGTCCAGCATAGCAAGTTTAGCAGTTTGTTTTGATCATATTTTTTACTTTGATTTTAAATTTCAGTAACTTGGATGGCAATCCTGATGGACTAGAGCTCGGTACTGAAGTGGAGTACATGCTAGGCAGAATCAACGGTTCGGGAGGCGGGTGTGCTAGTGCAGAACTTGTTCGTGTCCTGCCTAAGGGTACTATACACATCGCAAAACCCCTGGAGCCGACTCTAAACGGTACTGTGACTAGAACACTGCGAGCTCTTAACCCTGATCAGCCACAATATTCTGGTGAGCAAATTAGGTTTATAATTCCCTAAACATACATGTAATGTAAGCCAAAGATAAATGTTAACTTAAAAGTAAGTTTACATGATGTTCATGTCAATTAATACTTAACAGATGAGCCCCGTAGATTTACCTTTTTCCAATGCATAAAGGTAAATGTTTTACTGTATATCATTTGCTCAAAAATACTAAACACTTTTATAAATACTGTTATGAAATATTATGGGAAATATAATTGAATTTAATAAATTTTCATTGTAATTACAATGCTTTAAATTCATACATTCATGTTTATTTAATTCCCTTTAAAAAATCCCGGAAACTAGGAAAGAGAGCAGTTTCATCCTGTCCTTTACGTGTTAATAAACAGAAAAAGACATCTTTATATACAATAGCGAATTTTGCTCAGTCATTAGTCCTTAGTTTTATGCAAATTGTTTACCGTGAACAATAGTTATATCGCCGCAATTTAGAATTATTATTGTAACTTGTTTGGATCGTTATTGATTCTTTTTAAGTTTTAATTTCACTATTTGAATAAAGAATTTTCCTTAAATTTTGATTAAAAATGACAATTGTCAATAAAGATGATTATAAAAGTGTGTAAGAGCGATAAAACCATTACAATTTTTACATCGGAACTGAAAAAAAAAATGCATTGATATGGAGCAACGATATCATTTGACATGAGAAGAGAAGATGAGAGCCATCGGAATGTAGCAATCTGGTTCTAGGCAACGGATTGTGCCTGTCGTTATTGGCACTACACATAAGCTTGGACGTATCGTATTACAAGAAGCGTAGCCGAGCGACATCGAGGACGATCTCGCATCATCTCTCGCAGACAGAACTGGTACATTCAAAATATTGCACGACGGAATCGTACTATGATCGCCATGATATTGCCTACAAGGTTCCACAGCTCTTCAGGCTTGTCAATAAGCGACCAAACTATCTGAAATTGTTTATGTAAAGTGGGTCTGCGTTTCCGAAGGCTGATGAGAGCTCCATCTATAGCACCTTGCATCCATAGGATTCATTAACAATGGGCTTGCGAACACAAAAATTGGGAGGACGAAGACTGGCGATCTGTTTGCTTTTCTAATGAATCTTGTTTTGTAATGAGGTCGGATACAAGACATACTCGAGTTTGGAGGACCTCTGGACGTCAATAACGTTTGAAATTTTGTTAGGAAGTTCATTCATATGGAGGGAGAATAAAATGTTTTTGGCAAGTATTTGGATCTGCGGAAATACTAGCTTTGTTAAACGTAGACAGATCCTCAATGCTCAGATTTATGCGGAGTAGATTGTTTCAGACGTGATTATCCCGTTGCGAAGGCAGTTGGGAGATTTGAGTAATGCACGACAATGCACGTCTACACACGGCTAGAGTCGTAACACGTACTCTTGTCGATGTTCGCATCAACGTTCTATTGTTGCTTGCTGTATCGTCAGATTGCAATCCAATTGAGCACGCATGAGATACGTTTTAAAAAAAATTGTCGAGTATGGATGCTTTTCATACTACAACAACAACTTTTTGACTTGTTAGAAACAACGCGAGCGGCTGTTCATCAAAGTGATTGTGGTGAACTGATTTTAAGCATGCCAATTTGCTGTGATTATATGATTTGTGTCAATGGTGGAAACACATTATATTTTTTTTATCTTTACAATAAAAATTTAAAAAATTTAATTAACGACATTAACTTCTTTAATTTCCCACAATGTATCCTACTATGACAAATATTGATTTGATCTTATATGTGAAATAAATATAAGGCGATCTACGAGAGATTATAAAAGGAAACTTAAAATATTTTCGATCACATACTTTTATTTCTAATATTTGTACTTCTTTGCACTGTCTTTATTAAAAAAAAAAAAAGCTTTTATTTATACACGCAAGCAATAAAATGTAATATTTATAATAAAATATGTTCATTCACAGGAATGATACAAGTTGAGGGCGCAGGGACTACGTACGAATTCGGAATCATGGGGCTGGCTTGTAAACGCGAAATATTGCAAGTAGGCGACCCGGTCACTTTCCAAGCAGATATGGAAGGGCGGGCTACCAATATAGTGCCAATAAGGAAGAAACGCCGTGCTACAGTTGATGCTATTAAAGGTATGTCTTAATATCTATTGGTCCCAATTCTGAAGTGTCACTCTCTAAACTTATTTCTTAATTTAAAGAATTAATTTTAGTGTCATTTTGAAGCAAAATATACTTATGGAAAGATTACATAGTTGAGCACACATAAACTAAAGAGGTTTTATTGAATAGGGAGCCACCGGAGAACCAGTAAAAAGTGTAATAGTTGTTATTATAGATAGATAGATACTCTTTATTGTTTCCTCCAAAAGATTACAAGAGTAAACTTATTCTAGATATAAACAATTACAAGAAATAATTACAATGAGAAAACAATGGGCGACCTTATCGCTAAAAGCGATTTCTTCCAGGCAACCTTTGAATGGAGAGGAGTAATTATAAACAGTTTGATTGGAGGCACGATGAAGATCAAGAAACAAAGTTATAAATTTTTATATATCTGAAGAAATAAGTATGCTAACCCAACAAATAAACAAATTAAGAGGATGATAACTTACTTAAATAAAAATCCTTAAGTTTTGTTCTAAAACTAGGTAGACATTTTATGTTTCGAATAGAAACTGGTAAACTATTCCACAGCTGTACAGCTTGCACCGTGAACGATTTGTCGTAAAAACTAGAATGGTGTATTGGAGTCTTCAGTTGGAGTCCCTCAAAATACCTTAGATTAAAAGAACTGACGGAATGTAAAAAATCAAACCGTTTCTTTAGATAACAAGGGAAAGAAGAGTTAAAAAGGATATTGTGGAGCAGTGAAAGAATGTGAGTATTCCGGCGAAAACGAATAGGAAGCCACTTGGGTTTAGTGCGAAACTCGGAAATGTGATCATATTTTCTAAGATTGAAAATAAACCTGATAAAAACATTTTGAAGACGCTTAAGTTTGTTAAGTTGATCTTCCACAAGATCCAGATCATAAGTATCGGCATAATCAAGAATTGGGAGTAAAAGAGATTGGGATAGCGCAATTTTGGTAGCAGTAGGAAGGAAATTACGTAGTCTACGAAGTAAGCATACAGATCCGAAAACTTTCCTGCTGATAGATTCTATTTGTGGCCGCCAAGTAAGGGAACTATCTATAATTATACCTAGATCTTTCACTAATGCACTGAAGGAGATAACCTCATTACCAAAATTTATAGGTACTAGTGTTCAATGATCGACCTTATGTATTAACTTAGAACTATCTACTAGTACTGCCTAAGATTTGGAAGGATTTATTTTCAGTCCAAAAGCCTTACTCCAATCACTTATATGTTTAAGATCCTTGTTTGTTAAAATGATAGCATCGTTTAAATTATCTATAGAAGCCCGAGTATAAATTTGTAAATCATCTGCATGTAGATAGTAGAGAGAAGTTATTGGTTGTTGGTCAGATATTGAGTTAATAAGAACTGAAAAAAGGAGAGGAGACAAGACGCCACCTTGCGGAACACCAGCAAACGTATCGCATCAAGATGAAGATATATCAGCAATTCGTACTCGCTGCCGGCGTCCACACAAGTAGTCACAAAACTATTCAACTACAGGCGGAGATACGTTAAGAGAGCGTAAAAGTTCCAGTAGGATATCAAAGTCGACGGTATTGAACGCATTGCTAAAATCTAGAAGCATGAGAATGGTCATTTGGCCGTGTTCCATACCCGATCGATTATCATCAGTAATCTTGACTAGTGCTGTTACTGTGCTATGACCGGGTCGAAAGCCAGACTGATAAGGATTCAATAGGTTGTTTTGAGTAAAAAATTTTGTTAATTGAGTATGAATAAGGCGTTTAAGCACTTTAGAAAGGAATAGTAGGATTGAGATAGGTCGCAAATCAGAGGATTGTTCTTTTTTGGAATGGGAATAATTTGTGCTTCTTTCTAACATTTTGGAAAAACACAAGTTTTAATGGAGCGGTTTAGGATAAAGCAAATTATAGACAATATTTCATCAAGAATCGGAATGATCATCGTGTGACTGATGCAATCGCTACCTACTGTATCAGACATTATAGAAATAATGCTCTTCTTAATGTCACACTCTGTAAATTGATTAAAAACAAATGGTGAATAGTGTGGAGTTGGAAGCAAGGAAAGATATTATTACAAAGTATTAAAATATTCTTTATCAATTTAGTACCTATTTCATTGCGACAAAAATGAACATATTCAAGGAGTTTTATTTCTCAGTTTACTTCCGTGTTGGTCATCGCGTTAAGTCCCGATAGTGTATTTTAAATATGTGTAAACAACACAAAAGTTTAAAATTAACTTTTATTTAGTAGATTTGAATAGAATCATAATGGCCAAACCAACGCAATCTGGAGAATGCCATTAGGTGTGAAGTCTGCCATATATACACTTATCTAATTGTATATTGAAGTTTAAATAAATAACGGCTAGATATAAAATTGAAAAATTACAATTTATTAAAAAAAAAAATTGTTCACAGGCGTGTTCGGATTCTTGTATCTAGAGTCAGAAGACAATCGGCGGCTGTTTTTCCACATGTCTGAGGTTCGCGGCAACGCTTCTGATCTCCAGCCCGGCGACACAGTCGAATTTGTTATGCTCACCAATCCTAGGAACGGAAAGTCGTCGGCTTGCAACGTCGTCAAAATCGGGTTAGTATATACACCAGAATATATCTGTATAGAAGTGATAATGATTGCATGGCTGTATTACGGTTTGAGAGGTGGGGAAACAGCAGTATAATTACGGGGTACGGAGGCACAAAACGACTGTTCTCAGGAATTTCAGGTTTTTTTTTAATGGGAGAAAATGAAATGGTAACCCCGCCTGCGTTATAGGTATACGCTAGCGGGATACCATTGAGTGATGATAGGTGTGGATGCAGTCACGTTATTTGGGCTATCGTGACTAATTCAACAAGAATTAACCAGGAGATGGCTTCCAAGAGGCACCACGGGGAAGTATCCCCATTTAGTAATATTACTCTCTGCCTTCTAATTAATCTATTGCGAGGATACGAACGGTATAATATACAATTTATTAATTGTCAGGACTTTACATAATTTAATAATATAAAGAGTTATGATTACACCATAGTATTATCTGAAAAAGGTACAACTACTATAAAATTTAGCAATTATCTTACAAATATAATAAAAATGCATGTAGACGATATCTATACATATAGACATGGGAGATATTTAAGAAAGATTAACATGAGGGGTCGTAAGACCCATTAGATACCAAAACAACAAAAAATATAGAAGTTTTGTCTATTTGTTTGTTCCAGCATCGCACAAAAACTACTAAATTGGAATCAGTTCTTACAGTTGTATTTCTGTAGGTCTAACTTAAAATTTTATGTTTATTTTATCTAGATGCCCTGTCTAGTAATGGTATTTTCAATTGGGTCTCATACTTAAATCCATGCTTATTAAATAGTGAGTAAAAACCTAGTTATATGTATGCTAAATTCGAATAAACCTGAACTAAGACTTAATAAGAGGTTGGAAACAATCTATAATCTAGAATATAATTAAATTTAAAGATTTATTTTCCCTTTCAGATAGTAGACAAAATCTGATCCAGCTATGCTGTTTAACTAAGTACATATAATAATTTGGTAAATCTATATTGACAGGAGTAAGGCGCCTACTAAGGCGAGAACTGAGCGACCAGAGCGGCTCCTGTCGCGACTGCGAACCGCATCCTTGGAGGAAGCGGCTGGTCCTCGCGTGATCGTGATCCGACCACCACGCGGGCCCGACGGCAGTCGCGGCTTTCGTCCCCGACGACCAATTGCTGGTACAAATCATCATATCAGTTGTTTACTTGTACCCTGTTGAACATAGGCCGCACCCATGAGGGGGTTTTGCCAATAGTTACTATGCTTGGCCGGCGAGTTGGCAACCACAGTTAGGCTTTTGGTAATGTTTAAATCATTATGGTACACCACTACTCATCCTTCGATCGTCAAGTTCCCTTAGTCGTCTCTTATGACACTCACGGGAAAAAGGGGTGGGCCCATCTATGGCGGGAATCAGACGGCGTATGGCTGGTACAAAGATTACGCTTGAATTTTTCAGTCTGGAATTATTACTAAGACTTTGGGTCAATATATGGATGAGTTAATGTAAACCATTATGCTTTGTTAAAAAAACCAGTCTACTCGTAGGTTGCCTAGGATATCATAGGATTTACTATTCATTAGATAGATGCATAAAATATTTAAACTTAATAAATTATGATTATATATTATTGGTATGAAACCTAATTTTATATTATTAAATATATATAATATTTATTTACTTAGGTATCAATAACTATTGTAATAAATTATTATTACAATTTCTGTTCCAGATCTTTTAGCAGAGTGAGACCAGCTGTGTTAGTGATACCAGGCCTCAACATTTTATACCTATGTAGGTGAAACTGTAACTTTTTTGATTTTCAAATTTTTTTTATTGTATTCACGTGAGACTGATTATTATCAATTTCTCTAACCAGCATTTAGAACCGTTATTTTATCTAACCTAGCGCAAACAATTATTAAAAAAAAAATATATTTTCTGCTGTTCCATAAAATTAATGTTATCCACAAACTTTAGGCTTTTATTGAAACGTAAATAACATATCAAAATAATCAAACCAACTTAAGTTGCGAAAGTATGCACATTGTTCAAAATTCCGTTTGTACCATTCCTGAGCTACGTATGTTATTATGGTCTGCCAAGTTCAATACGATTGCCTTCGTGTCGGCACATAGCATATGAAGTGTTGTAGCTATGTTGAATATCAGTATCGCTTCGCCCAAAGTGATATAAATATTTGTGTAACGTAGTTGTAATGGTTAGAATTGTGGCAGCGTGCCCACTACGCTGCGTACGTTCGCGTCCCGTTTACTGTCGAATTGTTGTACATTATATGAAATGTTTGTTACGATTTTTGTTACGTTTAGTCGATCTCTTTATGCGGAACATACTGTGATTTATGAAAATTATACGTGTGCAATAAAAATGTTTAACATATATAAATAAATATGGTCCGCACAGGACACGGCTAGTCTTATAATAATTATTTTGTTCATAATACTCCCTAACGGTCACTTCATCTGATATGTGTCGCCAGAATTAATAATTGTGACGATAGCTAAATTTATACTTGTATAGATGAACAAAATTGTATCTTAGCTATTGTAAAATAATCGGATATAAAGCATTTATATAAAAACAATGCGATGCACTGGGATGGAACCAAAGACTGAAAATATATTTATTACAATAATGATATTGGTTTTAGATTATTATAATTTACTGTATGTTGTGAACATTCATGTAACCTCATGTATTAATTACGGACGGAATGTGTATAGTTTGATTTTCTTTGATATAGTAATCTCGCCTGTAAATTAATAACTATATCTGGCTGATATGATTGACCGTTTCATGAAATGTTTGTATTTTATGATATGGCCAGCTAAAACTGATTACTGGTCGGCACTACTGGCACTATTGGCTGACTACTGGTTGTATTTGACCATTTGTAGAGTTTCTACAATATTTGAATGACTTTCCTAACATTAGACAAAAATAGATATAAACCTTAGGCATGTTTAGTATCTGTTGTTCGTATTAGTGGTCAAAAAGGTAGTTTAGGTTAGGTTTCGTTTAGTAAAAGCTTAAAATATTTTTTTTGTTTTCACATAAAATGATTACATTCACCAATGTATGGATTTTTACATCAATAATAACGACCTTTCATTTCACTTTTATCTTAAATTGGCACATCTAATTGCCTGCCGTTATGATGTGTAACAAAAACAAAAATGTAACTATTTTGCGATTTGATTGCAAACTAGTTTAGACTATATCATGATATAGGCAGTGGGTATTTTGCATATCATGAAATACACCAATTTCATAAAATGATCGGCTACATCATGAAGTGATCAATTCTACGATCTGGTCATGACATATCTATATGTACCGATATTCCATTACATTCAATGTTTTTGTATTTGGTTAACTAAACAAATAAATAAATAATTTATATACTTCACATTACTTGACCAATAAAAAATAATGGGGAAATAAAGAAGAAATGGGAAAAATTACTGCAAAATTACTGAAATTTGACATTAGTTTATTAAGTTAAAATGGGTGTAAAAAATAGTCCACATCAGAACGAGGGGTCATATGCTAGATTCAGTTGGTTTAAAAACAATCCGTTTTTGTCAAATTGTAAGAAGTAGCTGAAATAATTCTGTTTGTTGTGATATATTTTTCGACATATAAAAAACTGTCCAAGTTATGAATGAATGTGGTAGTGTGTGAATAAGGGTACTATGATACTCCTTTGACCCCACTTTCCGAGATGGACAAGTCTGCAGCAACTTTTTCTATTTTTATTTAATTTTCCTGTGCCATATGCATCTAAAGTTAATAATGAAGTGATAACATGCTTGTTCACAACAAAGTATATTATTTTTAAAAAAATTAATTATAACTTGTGTAAAATTGGTAGCGAATGTGATTTCTATATATCGATATTGAAAAATAATTTAACACTGAAATAAAAAAAGCCAACAGCTAATAGATTTTTTTTATACCTAAGTTGGTCTGTCCGTCCTCACAATTCAATCCTCTTGCGTTATTTCAAAATATGTACTCCTTGAATTATGGCAAGGCGGGCTTTGCTCGATACATTTTTACTATGAACCTAAATATAGAAACATCGTATCTATTCATTGTAAAATATTAATTTATTAGTCACTGGTATTATATGCTGTTATTTTAGTGTTAAATTCTTGTTCAATTGTTTTGTTTGGGAAATATGATGTGTAATATTATTATGCTTACTTTAAAAACCCAAAGAAAAGGCGGGAATTTTGAACAAATGTTTTATGCTTATGTGCTTTAAAAACAACAAGTTGTGTTTGCTGTAACATATATATGTTCATGTAACCATATTATAGTAATAGTAAAAATATAATAATCTGGTTAATTGATGTTGTAGCGTACGAAAGTCCCGGATCTTCGGGTATAGGTATTATTATATTACTAGTCTTAAACATTTACCCCGGTGACTGTCAGATTACTACTATACTGAAATCTTGGCAGACTAAAATGAAATAGATCTGACAAAGAAATATTAGAATATTCATCATTAATCATCTCACACTTTTTTTCTTGTAGTTATGAATTTGGCAAACCAATAACGAAATGAACTAAATCAGTGCCTAAAAAAACCTCTGGTTGGATACCAAAATGTAAGAAAAAAATGTTTAAAAGTTAGCCTTTCTGAATACACATTTTGAAATAATCATAAGAGTTTATTTTTAATTTTCCATCTGAATGTAAGAATTAGACATAGATCAAACGCCAAATGTTTAGAACACCTGTACAGTTCACTCAGACTTGTGATAAAACATCAAAATTTTTGCGAATGAATTCCCTTCGAGGTGGATTGGTGCGGTGAAGGTCGCGGGGCGTAACTTCATATTAATTATATTTTTGCAAACGCCTCATATATCTATCTATCAGGATTTTTAATAATAGTGGTGTCCATTTCACTATGTGTTTAGCGACTGGCGGCTGGGCGGGCCGTGGCTGTCAATATAGGAAGGAAAGTAGACGGTTTTGTATATTATTTCTTATCGCGAAATAGTTACTCATAACCGCACCACTCAGGCAGAGCAACTTGTCATTTAAATTTAGGCTTTAAGCCGTGTGATGTATGAGATAATTTTCAATAATTATATTGAAAAGTGGAGTTTCTCGCGAGCCATTACTTTAAAAATCTCGCCTTTGCATATTTTATTATATAATACACAACTTAAAATCTAAATAATGTACTCTTGCTTACTGAGTTGGAACAGTGCGATAGTCACTAGTGACTGCTTTAAGAGGACACCCTGCTAAGGATTGTAATCACTGTCAATTTTTGTGGCTTTTCATTATTTTTATGTGAAATATTGCTTCAATATCTATTCATTAGTTATCCTGGGGTCGTAAACATTGATCTTTGTTTTTCAAATGTCATCAAATGACTTAACAATGATTTCTTGGGTATTGTTAGTACACTGCAAATAATTGTACTATTACTATTGAACAGATTGTTAAGTAATATATTTTTAATATAAGTAATAGTATACTATACATCCATGTTCCTGTCTCCATCAGATCGCACTTCCTTTACCCCAACCCACCACGCTCTGAGGCGCCATTTCTCTTATTTCTTAATCTAATATTATAGTTTGATAGTTCTAAAAAAATTCTGGACAATCATGAACTAAAAGCGTAATAATTTTCATTGAAATCTATTAGAAAATAAGTTCGTATTGGTCCTTATAATAAAGATTTCGCTGTGATATCGATTTGAAATTTTAATTTTAGACATAGCTTTAAAGAAATGGCGAATTAGAATTGGCCCATTGTCTCAAATTGTAAATGTGAAGGTTGTGTGTGTAGGAACTCCATCGACCTTGGTACTCACTAAAACATGTACAATCATCATTTACTTACCTGATAGTGATATCCATAGATCATACCGTTTTTGTATGAAAACCACGAAATTCGACAGGCGATCGTTTTGTTGCCGTACCATCAAGGACTTAGGATTTATCAACTCCAGTGCTTTGTACTCGCTGCAGTCGCCGGCTTGTATCGCGAACTCAGCTTGTACACACTTGTTTAAATGTCAGCGCAGAAGTCGGACTTCTTGTATGCGGAAATTTCCCTATTGGTATTGTTTGTTCTTGCCCGTATTCGTTGTAGCATGCGATTTTAGATAATTTTATGGCGTGACTAAATGTACACTGAAGATTGTCTTCTATCGGACAGAAAGGCCTGAACCAACAAGGCAAACATAAAGAGAAATTGCTTGCAGACAAATTGTCTCTCATCTGCGCAGGACATAATCGTATCAATTTATTATTGGGTGCAGAGATACACCAGCGTTGCCAGCTGTTATTCCTAAGCTTATATCGTTCATGCAATAAGATTAAATTTATTAATAAATGATGTGATTATACCATTTAATGCTTTCTATTATTTATTCGACATACCTGTATTGTCGAATAACAGTGGCTCAAAAACAGCCACTCTTGTGTCACATAACACAGTCACACATCAGTGTTAGCTGATGATTATTGGTCCTTGGTGGAATTTAATTTCTTTCATTTCCACAAGTTTTTTTTTTTTTTTGTGTAAAGAGAACAAAATTCCACTTATAAATTTGTCATAATTTGGATTAGGAAACTGAAAGCAAGTAAATTAATTTATAAAATTAATGGTGTGACATTAATGTCACCACATTAATTTTATCAGTAGATTAATATCTAAATTTTTATTTCGTAATGTATTATGAAATTTTATTATTATCAATTATAAACTTTATCATCATTCTAGCCACAGTTTACCATTGAAAATAGGTCTTCATATTAGACCACAATGTATAATATCACCTGCATTAATTGATTTTATACAACAATTTTGAGGCGGTCACTTCAGGATCACCTTTGCACTGCTTTTGTTTGTACAGGGTCACCATTTAAAAAAACTCGTTGCCAGTGCTTTAAGCAGTGTAGTCATACAACATACAGAGAAATACCAGTCAGTTTTTCTTGAATTAATATGCTCAATTTTTATAATAGAGTAACAATGACTTTAGTTCTGCTGTGAATATGGTATTCTGTGATGTGATGAACTTTTATATTATTATGTTAAATCATTATCAATAAAGAAAACCATTATAAAAACGGCAGATTATCGTCTGATTGGTCTCAATAGAACTTAGGGTAAACAAACAAATAAGATCCGATTATAAAACAGTCTGCAAATGTCAAATATAATCAATCGAATGAAGGTTTCAATTTGTTCAATTGAAATTTCTGTGATAATTATGATAAAACTTTATTACCCTTCCATTAACTATCGAAACAGACTAAACTAGTTCTGGATCACTACTAAACTTTCTAGCGACACTGTTCTTTTATTTATATTTAGAAATAGTACATATTTAATCATTATTTATTTTTCCAAGTGTCGTTACTTTTAGTTTTGGTTTTACTATTTTTAGAATAATTATTAGAATTTGAGCAAATTAGGTCCATAAATTTCCATTAAATTAATAGATGATCGATATCTTTCATATTCCCATTTTAAATTCATGACAAAAATTCTTTATATAAAGACAGAACTTGTACTCTTGTACCTCCCTTTCTTACAAGTTCTGCCTTATTATATATATTTTATTTATATTTTTCTCCTTTGTTTCTTTTTTGGAAACGTGCGGCTGCGGACATCATGATATGTTTTTAATTTTTATTAAACAAAAATTATTTCAACATTTCTAAATTAAGCAGATAGATTTTAGATTATAAAATGTACGTCATACTGAGTCTATGAGATGGATAAAGTTAAAGTTGAGCTTAAAAACAAAACAATCTTTGTGTAAGGCAAAAATTTCGCAATTTTCTTGTGTCAATACCCTGACTGAAATGGGAGAAAGGAACCTGCTGTCGCTGCTCAATGACAGCTATCAACTTGACACATCGATTAATTTAGGGATTGGCATCTAAGAATAAGGAATTACATAGAAGAAATGATAAAATAAAAACTGTAAATCATATGGCTGCCTTCTTTCTCCTTACGCAAATATAATTAGTAAAAAGAGGACGAAAAATACATCAGGCTAGTGTATAGAAAATTTAATACTCATAATTATTGACGAGCAATTTTTTTTAAGAGTTTACATAACACGAAATATGTTAATATTGCAAATAAAAATGCTCTGCTTAAGAACTTAACCGTTAATCATGTAATAAATTATTAAGCTTTTACAGAGAATATGGATTATGATAATAAAAAAGTAATTCCAAGCAAAATATTTAGGGATATAGTTTTTAATGATAGATTTATATATTATGCAATGTATTCTATCATTAACGTACTTCATAGACAGAGTATTCTTTAAATAATCAATCGAAAACATTCTAGGATTCTTCAATTGTTTCTGTTAATTAATAAATAATAACGACGGAATTGTTGGTAATGGACTATAACAAATTTATTCTAGCAATGACCCTATCAAGCAAGGATACCTATTATGATCTTTGTTTCTCAAATATACCATGATGAGACAACTGTATGCAACTGCATTCGTCTATACCTATCTGTCTGACCAGCGTATCCCGCTAGCGCAGGCGGGGTTACCATACCATTTTCACCCATACCTATCTCTCAATGGTGCCTCACCAGTATATATCGATAGCGCAAGCGGGGTTACCAATCAATGTACCCTCTTATAAAATCCTTATGATAAAATGTTATGATCTACCACCTTGCAATAAGAGGTCGTGGATAGAGAAAGGAAGTGGTGGTATTTGATTGACATAAATTAAATGGAAATCTTTATTGAAATATTTCCATTTTAACAATATACTAAGTCTATGCACACAATTATAAGAAAAATTTAACCTACTTTTATCAAACCATTTGTATAAAGACACTTTATCTACACAATCTAAGGCACATACTTACATAAATATTATAATAATTATATATATAATATTAAAAATCATTGCGCGAAAATGTTCTCGACGCAAATCCATTTTTCAATGAGACACGGTAATTTTAATAAGCTCGCAAAAAATGTGGAGGGAAGTTTTGAATTTATAAAGTACCTATTTTTACATATAAGTAATCATATTTTTAAATAAATTATAAATAACTTTTTTAAATAAATTATAACTGGCCAGTCTCACATACATAAAAAGTTGTGTGAGTGACCTGGTATTTATGTAAGTAGGTGCACATTGTACTAATATCACAAGTTGACGTTAAGTTCAGTACAAGTTTTTTTTTTATCTTAAAATGAATTTAACAATGTTTTATTAAGACGCTAGTTGACAAAATTTGGAAATGAGTTTAAAAATATAGCTTATATATTTACCCTAAAAATATATTATTTAAAAAAAAAAGCCATTTTACCAAGGAATTTTGCGTTTTTAGTAATGAATTCAAAATTGACATCGAAAAAGGCCAAGATTGTCATGGCGTTTTGAATGACGTCACGCCTCGTAAAACATTTGTATTTGTTTATGACAGTCAATTGTTTTTATTCAGAAATAATGATTCTCTCATATTATAAATACTGTGCAATGCCCCAATGTAAAACACAACGATAAAAACACCGAATAAATTATTCATATACGTTCCTAACAATAAGCAAATACGTAAAAAGTGGTTAGAAATAGCAAGTAGGCAAGATGCTTCTAATATATCAAATGACTGAACACTATTTCTCTGAAGAACATTTTGATGTAAGTATTAAGCCAAGTTAATATATCTATTGGTAAATATAAAGTAAAATTTATAGGTTATGTAACCATAAGTTATAAAATGATAGGACTTGAATATGTTTGTGTTTTAAAATTTATAACATTATTTTTGTTGAAAAAATGAAATAATTTATACTTTTTGTATTGTTTTATTTTCCAAATGATATGATTAATTATATGGAGTATCGTATTATGGGAAAAATCTCACAAGTGCGCATGAAGCCAGATTGTATGTCAAAGAAATTCGAATGCCAAGAAAATAGAAAGAAACGTACATGCAGCGATATCAAATGACCATATATGTTGAAAAAACAAAGAATGTCAACAATCACAGAGTGAACCAGAACAAAATATAAGTAGTACATCAAGTTCATCTATCAAGGATACTTCAACAAGTTCAGGTATGTAACAAACAAAACAAATGATTTGCAGTTTGAAACATGTATTAAGACATTATTATTATGACCATATTGTGTTTATTTTTAGATTTTCAAAAAGTTACAGGAAGAGGATGTACCTGAAGCTTTGTTTGCACTGACAGCAGATAAATTTGTTCAAGTATTAGTAACACACAATTTCAGAAGTAAAGCTGTCCAAACTAAAATAAAATCAATAGAAAAGGCAGTATCATTTTTGAAACCATCACAAATATCTGTCTGCACATCCCCATTCAAACCAATGAAAATTATAAATTCAAGACCTGTGTCGGGCCTCGGCAAAATTACAATATATTTATCAAAGCAGAGCAGTCTGATAGTGATGTTTCATTATATGTACCATCTGCATCTACCTATACATATACCTATCTATCTAAGATTCATTAATAAAATAAAACAATTTTATTTTTTTGTATTTTTAGTTTTTAGTTCTACACTGTTATATGATAAAGAATAAATATTGTTTTTCCAAAAATCCAACAAATTTTTGATTTTATTTTCAATATATTTTGGATTATATTGAAATACCTCAACCACTTTATTTTGGCTATAATCAGGATCAGCCACACAAAAAACAATTTCTCGTTTCAGTTTAATACATTTATATTTGCATTTGAGTATAATACTTTTGTGTGGCTTCACCATTTTTAATGTAATTTTTATAAGTTCTTTCACTATTAGGGCATTTAATTTCAATTAAGCCATCTTTCAATATGCCATCTGGAGAACTAGCAATCATCGGGTAATCTGCATTTAATATTAGTCCGCACTTATTAATTTTTTTTTCAGTTTTACCTCCACAGTCTACTTGAGCTTCTAAGATACGTCCACGTCTCATTGATGGAGTATCAGGTATTTTTGCCCCCAATATTAGAGACACAAGTGTACCATTATTCTTTTTACAGCGGTTTTAAATGCTCTTGATGTGGTTATTCGTCCATACCGCAGCTCATGCCAAAGAGAGCTATTGGATTATTCCCTTGTTTCCCCTTCAACTTTTATTATTAAAGATGCAGATATCTTTACATTTTTAAGAAATCATCTACACATTTCTCTTTAAACTTCCACACAAGCTGATGCATTGAACCAGCCTGTATTACACTCGCATTGTATGTGGGTTGATACTTAAGGAGTTCGCAATCCTCAATTTTCCTGTTCTTTCCTTCTTCTAAAAACTTCAGCAAAACAGATGAGTTTGACAGTATGAGAAGGGTGTCCTTAGATAAATCTTTGGCCGTCATATATTTTATGGTATTACCAA